CCCTTTTCTTTTTTTGCCTGGCCGGCTCAGGCGAGATATATTTAGAGACCGTTGAGTTTGAAGGATCCGTGTCCGGCGCCTTTTTGAGCGAAAGGGACCACGTTTTACTCCTCGTCGTCGTTGCATACCGAAGCACCCCGCCCCAAAAAGAAAAACACACATTTTCGCCGTGTTTTTTCTCCATTCACCGTGTTTTCGTGTACATATACACCCGTGTCTCACTCAGTGAGTTTTTCTCACTCAGTAGTTGAGACCGACAATTATATTTTTCCGTTTTTTCCCCCCAATCCTTTTTTTTCCATTGTAGCAGTGATATTTCTGTACCGGGTGTGATGTCATACCAGCGCCCCCCATCTACTCCTCACCTTGCGGCGCCAATCTGCCCCTAGTCCCTTATCCTGCCGGGCACAGGCTTTGTGATGGGGATCTGCATTGAACAATGAAACAATCGGACGACGCCATCGCCGCCCTAAAAAGGGTTACTACGATGTTAAGCCACTAGGCGACACCCTGGACCCTCATGCAAGTGTGAGTACCTGTTCTTTAGTGTGTTCTCTGCTTATTCTCCACTTGTAGTATGCCTGGTGCCTCGAATATCATACGATGGCTGCGGTCGCCTACGCTCGTCATGCTGCCAATTTTCTTACGCCGCTTAAACTTTCACGGCTGGCACGGGGGGAGGGGCTTTCGGGGATACAGTATACTGTTTGGGTGCATGCTGCATCCCATAATCGGGTGCGTGTGCGTCGACAGAATAATCTATTCATGGGGCTTGTACCACTATAAGACAAGAATAATTCCTGGAAAACTGAAGAAGGGATGTTTGTGCACGGGAACTTGGCGGCGGCGGCCATCACCTTCATCGTTCTCCAGGGGATATTCCTCGCGTTCGTGTTCTTCACCCGCGAAGTAACCAAGATCGTTTACTTCCTCTGCTCGTACACGGTGCTCCGGATGTTCTCGCAGGCGGTGGCGCTTGTCATCGCTAAGAACGGGGTGGTGTGGTGGCTGGCAATGGTGTACACCATGTTTCTGACGGCTCCGATCGTGTTTTTGATCTTCTCGCTGATGTGCTTTTTATTCTCGACTCACGAACAATCAGTGCACGCCGAGGACTCGAAGTTGGCGTATTTCGTTGACGAAAAGCTCCAGGGACGGATCTTGGCCCTCAAATGCTTCTTTATGACGATGGCTTTGATCGCCATCACCTTAATCCTCACGGGGCTGGGGATCGTCGCCCAAGTACCTATCCCTGAAGTATTGGCCCTGCGCCAGTGGGGGTACGCCGAGGGCATCCGCACTGCCGGCAGTTGCATCTTCTTGTTCTTAACCATTGTGGTGATGCTGATTACTATCGCCCGTTTCAATGCTTATCGTGATACCTACTTGGCCTTCTCGTTCTTGCTGACGGTGATCTGTGGCTGTTTGGTGATTATCCTGTTAATCCACCAGATCTTGCAAATCTGGGTGCCGAGAATGAACCTCTACGCCGGCGTGGGCCTGTTTGTTCGCTACCAGTATTGCATGCTGGAGGCGATGGAGTTTTTGTGCTCCATCTTGGCGTCGTACAGTTACTGCTGTATGGGCGGCGACGCCGAACCGGTGGCGAAAGTGGAGTACGACGAGGACTTTGACCTTGACCACTCCACCGTGTAAACGCATAATCATACCAGTAATACTCGTCACGGTGACGTCGTGGTATGTCGCGGTATGCACACAGTAACAATAGCCTTAGCCCTGCACAAACACAAAACAATAGCGATGTTAGTAGATGCAATTCCAGGAACAGTAGCCTTTTAGGGGGTTCGTTGTTTGAATGCTAAAATTTTCGAGATTAGACGGTGTAGGTTAAATGAATTTTATTTAACTCTAAACCACTAGCTGGGGTTGCCTTCATCTTTAGCCTCGGTCTATATAGCTTATTTTACACTGTACAGAGTGCAGGGTCCTGCACTGGTGCTGCACGGGTCTTCCGGTATGTACACAAAACCTTCGTCCAATGGTCCGGCCACAATAGTTTAAATTCTGATTGTGGTGGACGTGGGGCATAATTCTATGGGATCCAGTTACGAGATTTAACTCCATGGAACAATCGATAAAACATCTTCTTCGTTTCAATCATCGGTTTTGATCTCCAGGAAAACTACACTACATTGGTCATCACGCTGAGCGATGCCATCTCGGTGTTTGGAGCAGGTCGGCTAATTGCTTATAGTTTAAACTGGGGGATGCGACGGAGAGCCACGTCGCATCCGTTTGACGATGCCCTACCACCAACCAGGTTAGTGTAGCCGTGTTATGTGTGGCTCCCTAGAGCCAAGGCCTATTGTTTTAGTCGGCATCGTATACAGTACCCCGACACAGGCCATCGCCTTGTCTATTGTGCTGTGTGTCTTAGTGCTGTGCCTGTGGCCAAACACACAGCTGGGTCGTAAGCAAATGATCCGCAGGGTGCAGTGTTTTTGTGTACACCGATTTCCCGATGCGGATAATCGAGAAATAAGCGGGCGCTGTGGGCGGGCCAGACAATAGCGTTTGTCCATGCACCTGGTAACCAAGAGGTCCACCCTTGCTCTGTGCCATCTGTCGTATTCTTCTCCCCCTGGGACGCAAAATAACCCCTTGGATCTGGAGAGGTATTGTGATGAGGCGGTGGCGTTCCCCGTGGTGATAGCCTTCTGGTGACTCGTGATGGGTGTGGGTTGACTCGGTTGCCTCGGTGTCCAATATCACGAGAATCAACATCGCGCGGAGTCGAACATGATATCGCCTTAATATGGTGAAGACTCAAGGTTGGGGATGGACTCGTAGAACATCAACAAATTTCGATAGACCTATCATCGGGTAACAACGGGAGACACTTCGATCGGTAGGTACACCTGTGTTGGCCACATATTTTGAATTTTTCAGAACATATGGAGGGGGGCTTCGCGAGATATTTATATCGGTTACCCAAAATAAGCTTAAAATCCTCGTATGCCAATACCAGCTTAATACCTGTTGCGGAAGGTATGTCAATAACGGCTAAATTGAAGTTGTCAGCCAGTACAGGCACAGAAATTCAAAATAGTGAAGCCACTCAAACCAGGGCTGGTGTAATGATTAGAATAATTATGATTTTTTCCTCAGCTTTCCCAGCTATTTTAAATTCGTGTTACGAGCATAATTCTAGGTGAACCAGCACTGGTTCTTAAGCGAAATTTGAAACATCACTACCGACATATACCCTATTTCTGATTTAACCGCTTGACCACTGGATGAATGGTCTTGATGAACATCTACTCGTTCAGGTCAAGGTTATAAGATATAGATAAGCCTCCTTAATCCCTCTATACTTGGTCTATCTCTGGTTAATCCCCGGTGAAACGACAAATTTCAGGCGTCCCGTGGGTCCTACGTGGAAACCGTCGATGAAGCTTATTTCCAAGATTGCAGGAAACGGCTACAGACAAACACCGAATAAAGATCGGCGTTTCGCTTAGAGCTGCAATTTATAGAGTCAAAACTTTGCACCACAGGCGTGTAGGTGTCAGGGCTGTGTTGTCGTTTCCAGTCAAATGAAACACTCGTAAACCTCGCCCTGTTCAAAACCCATGTGACGAGTGTCGTAATGATTGTCGCAGACTACTTTAGCGAGGGCCTGAGGCGCATTTGTGGTGCCGATAGACTTCTGTCGACAGTAAAAGTAAGTGATGCCGACTGTTGTCGCTTAGGCGGCAATCTCAGATAAAGGGTCTGGGGAGTGAGATCCCACAACAGTGGCGTTTTGAACGCCTTGGGAGCCCATGGCTGGAGGCGGGACAACGGGCTCCCTTGTGATTTTCTCCATCCCCTTTCCTGCACTCAATGTGGGACGTGCGCTCGACAAGGCAAGTGATGCAGTAAGCGAACAATAGCCCCCACACTGGCGATCACCGCTAATCGGCCCGAAAAATCATGACCTGGAGCTGCTAAGGCGACAAACTAATAGTAAAACGGATCAGAACAAAATTTATTAGGATGAAACTCCATATCTTGGCCCCTTTGATGCCTGAGGCTGAGGGTGTCGGGAGGTGTCCCCCCCTCACCGCTGACGCAGAGAGTTGCCCTGAACCAGCAGAACAATCACTTCGAGGGTATGGTCAGTAGCAACCGAGAAGGCCCTCCCTTGGCCAGCCGAGGGATAGACTTTGAAGCCTAGGTCAATGAAGGCTTTGTGGTTTTCGTCTTGAACCGTTGATAGCTCCAAAATAGAGACTAGTCTACTAAAGAGAGCAAAGCCCCATGATGTTTTGAATTCAACCCAGTCGGCGATCGAACCCAAACAGGATATAACCTGTTTTATGAGGCGCTGCCGATATGCATGGGGGTGGCCTTGAATTACCCCAAGATCGGTCACAAAACCCTGGGGGACATGGGGGGCCGCCTGGCGCCTCGAAAACCGCTAGGTGAAATTGACAAGCAGCGACGGCAATATAACTCGGGCAGTAGCCGCCAGGCACTCGCCACACACCTCCCATGCTGTTTGTGTCTACCCCACTAGCGGCGGCGCTGATAACGTTCATCATCCTCGATGTGTTCTACTTCAGCTTCATCTTTGTCTACCGGCTGCTCCTGAAGGTGGTGTACTTCCTTCTTTCATATATGCTCCTCCGGCTTGGGGCCAACGTCACCGCGTTGATCATCGCTAAAAACGGGATCTGGTGGGGGCTGGCGTTCGCCTATAATTTCTTGAGTACGTGGCCGATCTTGTTTTTGGTGTTTCTGACGTGCTGCTTTTTATTTCAGACTCACGAAACTCCCATTTACGATGAGGACGATAAGGCAGTGTACCTTATTAACGAGGAGCGGGCCTCGAGAATCTTTCTCCTCAAAGGGTTATTCATGGCAGTACTGTTTGCTGCCGTGATTTTAATGGTGGTGGGAGCAGGTATTATCGCTGGCCACCCCCTCGAAGATTTACATAACCACTCAAAATGGACGGCGTCTCAAGGGTTAAGAATTGCCGGCAATCTGGTGTGGCTATTGGTGGTGGCGTGTATCCTGGGGGTGACTGTATGTCGCTACCCTGTGTATCGAGACACGCCCTACGCCTTCAGTTTTATGACCACGATGCTATGCTGTGTGCTTCTTGTGGTGCTGCTCATCCACAATATCTTAGCGGTAGTGGTGGCTCCCATCGACTACTATAATCCTGCCAGCATCCGCTCGTTTGTCCAGTACGAGTACCCGATGCTGGTGACGATGGAATACATCGTGGCGGTGTTGGCGCTGTATCTGTACTGCTGTATCAAGGCTGAGGAGTATATCACCGTCGACTAATTTGAGTAATTGAGTAATGAGTAATTAATGAACGATATTAGTGAAGAGGCTTGGGACGACGCAGCCCCACGAAGGGGCTGGGGGTGATGCGAGGGGGCGTATGTGGCCATCGCCTGCGGTATGGGGGTGCCCCATATTTCAGCCGTGTCTCGCCTCAGCGGGATTTTATTTAGCGAGCAACTGAGGGGTATATATACGAGCCCGTAGACGGAAAGCAACCACGAAAGACACTAGTCAACGGTCAATATGGTATAGCTATTCGGTTAGTAGACTAACACCGGCACTAGACGCTAGCAGTGGCAAATTGCTTTTCGAAATTAAGGTTGAGTGGTCAGTAAGCGATAAATTCATGGTATGCACTCTGAGAGTAGCGGCTGATTCACACTGTATTTCATCATGGTCGCCTCGACTTATAACGAAGGGAGGCCACCTTTCGCCGCTGTTAGTGGAATTCTACGCGGGTGATTAATTAACAGTGGTACGCATTGACTGCGTACAACATATACCAAAGCAAAAGGCCTCGCCAAAACACTACTAAAGATGATTCATCAATTCCCTTAATGATGGGAGATAGACATAATCATTCTCCATGTTGACTTATCAAGCTGCTCAAGGAAACAGAGGTATATCTCATTGATTTTGTTGGGCCACTAGATACGGTCCCGTCGCTTAAAGATACGCTCAGTTGCCTCCATTGCTACTACCCTTCCTTAAACATCATTCATTTGAGGCTATAAAGCTTACATCGTCTACACAGATTGCTTGCCGCCGTAGCCGCCGAGGTTTTGGCGGTGGCGGGTGTCCAAGGCGTTGAGCACCAGTTCGGCGGCCTTGACCCCCGAAAGCATCATCGCCCCAAAAGTGGGACCCATCCGGTTCAGCCCGTCGACTTCGGCAAGCTCCATCCCGGCGATGACCATCCCGGGAACGACTTCACGCGTGCCCTTGACGATGGCGTCCTCGGCGTGGTTCATGTCCAAGCCTCTCATGCCGCCAAGCTTAGCCTTCGAGTCATAGATTTGAGCCATTCTCTTAGCGGAGAAGGCGCCGAAGGGGCCGTCGTGGCCGGTGGTGGAAAGGACGACGTCACAGTTGATGGTGTTGGGGTCCATGCACAGCTGGGTGTCGTGGTTGAGCGCCACCAACGTCCAGTTGGTGACGACGCCGGCCACTCGCAAGCCCTGTTCGTCTTCTCTGGTGATCAAGTCCTCGACGGCGGTGGCGTTGAACAACTTGACGTTGGGGAACTGGAGCACCTTCAGCATGAGGGTCAGCATGAAGAGAGCGGCGTGCTTGACGACGACGTAGTTGCCTTCGTCTTCGTATTCGACGCCAAGCTCGTTCAAGAACACGTCGGCGGGCTTTCTCGCCACTAACGCCAGGAACAATTGGCCCCCAAGCCAGCACCCCCCGCCGGGGGACACCAGAGCCTCGATGATGGCGATCTTCAAGTCGGGACGGTTCTTGGCAAGCACGAACGCCGCCAGCAACCCGGCGGAACCGGCGCCGATGATGACGACGTCCAGCTCGGTGTACTTATCCAAATCAGCGAAGTAGCGCTTGGTCATTGCCCGCGACACCGTCAGTTCTCTGATCGGAGCAAAGTGGAACTGGTCCCAGTCGGCAAGCTCGACCTTGCCCTGGGTGGTGGGCTGGGCGTCGGTGAACTTGGTGTGGGGGCCTTGGTGGGTTTGCGGGACTAACACTGAGGGAGGAACCATGGGGATTTGAGTCAATTGAGTGATTGGAAAAAATATTGGGGGTCACGGGGGGTTTATATAGTGTGCTGGCAAGGCCATTGACCCTTGATTTAGCCCCCGAACCTGCCCCGGGGCTCGGACACTATGCTCCGACCTTAGTTTCCCGTTTGGGGATGTAAAGTGACACAAAGAAGGCGGTGTCAAACGCCAGGGCAGTTTCGGCGAAATTTCCCAGACAACCGTGACGGGTATCCGTCGCTACGAGATATATCGGGGCGATAGATCAGGTGTCTAATGGTTATGGCCCCAGTTTTGGGGCGATCGATTCGCCGTTTGACCGCGGTCCCCGTAATCGCATGGCTGCAAAACGGGGTATCAAAGGGGACACAGACCAATGGGAGCGGTGTAGGGGGCAACGGGGAGTAAGGAGTCGGGGATGATTAAGAGCATAGACGCGGTTGGGGACGCTGGCGACCTCGGGAACCGCCCCCAATTGCGATAACCCTACTATTGGTAACCTCTCAACTAAATGATAGAGAAAAGCTGAGTTGTCGCTGAAAAATCAACTACTACAGGTTCCTCTGATTCTCCTCATACTCTTATTTCCACGTTATTTTTGATACCTGGTGTTTGTCCGCTACTTTTCACCCTTTGAGGGCGCACTCCTCTGTAACCGCATACGGGGGGCACCCCCCATGGTATGCAATTTTACCCTAAGGGAAAAGCTGCCCCCCCGGCGACGTCCGATCCGTGTCTATTAGTTTGCTAAAGAAAACCCTATGCGCTTAAAAATTCCCGCAATCATCGCCTTGACCCCCCCTTATTCTGTCTCCTCGGTGGACTCCTTTTTGAAGCCATCAAAGTAGCGCTGGCGGAAGTCGGTGATGTTGCGTTCGCGGAGCCCGTTGCGGGTGACGTTGCGCCACTGCTCCTCCCGCTTCACGTATACTACGAGCCGCCGCAGCCACTTGTGGAACTCTTGTTCCAAGTGGTAGAGAAGCTCTAGCCGCTCGTGCTGAGGAATTAACGTTTCTTCAAAGTCGTCGTTGGCGGTGGGCATCCAAAACGCCAATCGGCCGCCCACGGGGAGCCGTTCGGCGGCAAACTGTAGCAAGTCCTCAAGCATGCTCAGGAGCAGGTACGGCTTTTTAGGCGGGATGAAGTCACGGCGCAAGTGGGCCTTTTCCCCCTCGATGACGACGTTCTCTCTGCCTGCGGCTCTTTCCGGGTTACGGGCACCACACACTTTTAAGCCCTCTCTCACGCCGTAAGGGGGATCGCAGATAATGCTATCAATCGCCAACAGCGGCCGCAACGCGTTATGAGTGAAGTCCATCCCCATCAAGTCCACCAATTGCACCAGGGTGCCGTACTGCTTGAAGTTGGCGTGGATATCTTTGCCGGGACCTTTACCCCGGAGGGCACGGGCATCGATATCGCTGCCCATGGTTAAAGAACCGAAATTGGCCGCGGCGACGAGGAACAGCCCCGTACCGGCGAAAGGGTCGTACACTAGCTTATTAGGACCAGCATGACCCAAATTAGCCGTTACCAATGACAACTCAGCGTCAAACAGCGTGGTACCAATATAGGTTCTTGTTTTCAAGTCGTATTTCTGAATAATGTTGGCTTCGCGGAGCAGTTGCTGGATCTCGCGGCCAAACCAGAGGTGGTCGGGTTTCGACGCCTTTTCCTGGCCCACGGTGTGGTACTCTTCTAATACGGTGAACACGTTATCGGGGTTCTTCAAATCAATCTTCCCTTCCCATCCAGTGTACCTGAATCCGTCGATAATCTGTCTCTTTTCCGTGGTCAGCCGTTTGCCCATGTAGCCGATAAAGTCGAATTTGAACAGCAGGTGCTTGTAGGCGTCGAAATTGGAGGCCATACGGCTTTTGACATCGCTGTGGAGCTCGTCTAGCGTGGTGCCGTGGCCCCAAAGCTCGTAGATCCGCCGGCCGAGGACCAGGCGGTACATGAGCTTTTTGGCGGCATCGTCGTCTTCGAGGCGAACCACCATAAATGGCGACTCGGGGTTGTGCTGGGAAAGGTCGACAGTGACATTGTGAAGCGCCGCAAGCAGCTCGAGCTCGGGACACCGGAACTCGGGGTACTGCTGGGCGAGAAGCACGAGGTACTCCTTCATGGGGCGATGAGTCGCGATGAGAAAACAAGCCGGCGAAGAAGGCCCCGCCAAAGGCGGGGAACGACGGCAGCGACCGACTAAATAGATCTCTAGTTTGACATATTCCTAGGTCGACAATATATTAATTACTAGTTGATCACATTTCAATCATTTTCCGTGGGCATGTTAGTGTCAACTACTAGATACCACTGCGATCGAAAGTATAAGGCGAAGGGAATGAATGCTTCGTGAAAATTGATAATTTGACAAACAAGGGCTTGGTAAGTAACGGAGAGTGGAAACAAAGTAGTTTTGGAGCTCTTTCGAAAGAATCTGATGTAACAAAAAAAGTTTATCAATTTTTAGTGTACGACTGCAAGTCAACGTACAAGGCAAATGGAATGAATAATTTGACTAACCTGGTGATGCTAGAACCAAACAGTCGCTTCCAAATTAGAAAGAATACTTTATCACCCTGGTCTTAAGTGTCATTCTATACTTTTTATATTGGTGGTAAATCTATTCACTAATGTACATTGTCTACTTCAACTGGGCCTTCTTCTTTTCCAATTGGGCCTTCTTCTTCTTCAACTGCTTCTCACGGTCGGCCTTCTGTTGGTTGGAGTATTGCATCTTGTCGTACAACTTGCGCTGCTTGTTGGTCATCATGATCTTCTTCAACTCCTTCTCCTCGTCTTCGGGGGTTTCCGCCTTTCTCTTCTTGCTCTTCTTGGTCTCGGTGGTGGTGGTGGTGGAAGGAGCCTCAGAGAACTTCACCCCCGCGGCCTCCAACTCCAATTCCTTTTGCGCCTTGAGATCTTCATCCTCTTCTTCGTCTTCTTCGTCCTCGTCGGCTTCAAGTTCCTCCTCTTCATCGATTTCTTCCTCATCTTCGTCGTCTTCAACCTCACCGGCTTCGACTTCGGCCTCAGGGTTATAGGTACCGGCGTCACCCCACGGCGACAAGTGAGGCGGCAACGTTTCCCCAGGCGCGTAGGCGTTCACGGGGACAAGCTCGGCCTTGTTGACACAGTCAAACACCCATTGGGGCTGGATATAGGTGCGTCCCTGGACCTTTTCCAAGAGCTTGGGACGGTCAGTGATATGGTGGGTGATCTTGTCGAAGTCTAAGCGAGCGTAGGCTTCCGGGTGGTTCGCCTGGAGCTCGTCAATAGCGATTTCCAGCACCAATTTACCGCCACAGGCCAAAATCGGCAATTCGACCAAGTCGAGAGCCACTTCTCTCCCGACAAAGAACGTAAACTTGGAAAACAATTCCAGCGTTTCCAAGGCGAATTTGTTAGGCTGGGTGAGGGCATCACCTTTAGTCTCGCCGAACTCATCGAGATCGACGTCTTCGACGTTTTCTTCAGCCACTTCTTCGACGTTGTCACCTTCAGCGTTAGCGGCAATCGCTTTCAGGATCTCTTCACTGGAAAGGTGCTTCCCTTCTTCGGTCAGCACTTCCCGCTTATCCTGGGGCACCAACGAGTTTTTCAGCTTCAAGATGTATTGCGACAAACCACCGACCTTGACGTTCTCATCGAGTTGGGGAGGGTAGGCAAGACCGGCGTCTTGGTAGAGCTTGTAGAGGACGAAATGGAGCAACGTCGAGTAGAACTCAAGGAAAGTGAGCATGATACGGAAATCGACGTCCAGGGGGATGTTCTGAGGGAACTTAAACGGTTGCAACCACCGCACGTCCTGGCCTCTGACGTTAGCCTCATAGTACACCCCTTTAATTGACACAAACACCTTCTTGATGAGTCTTTCCTTGGCGACAAACGCAAGCCACTGGTTACACAATTTTTCCGCTTCCTTGGTCACCCGGTGGGACACCCGGTCGGTGGCAGGCATGTTGGCAAATAAGAACAACATGTTCAAGGGGTCGTCCAAGTCCCTCAACGAGTCCATGAACGTCGGGTAGCGTTCTTTGACCAAGTGGTCCAACGTGTACTTGGGGCGGTTCTCTTCCAACCGCTGGGCATCGCCGACCTCGCCTCTTCCCAAAGCGCGGTTCAACTTGCGGGCAAACGTCTTGTGCTCTCTGAATTTCTGTAACACGGGCTCGTGCAACAAGTACTGGATGTCCTTGGCGTAGTAGAAAGTCACGGGGGCAGTGGACCCCTTATTGGCCTTCTTCTTGTTGCGGGGCTCGCGGGGGTAGATCCCTTTGAAGATACACAACCGGCGGAAGTCGGCGAGCGACACCTGCAACTTGTTGACCGCCTGGATCCGGGTGATGAAGTTCTTGGCGTTACCGGACGTGCCCTTCTTCTTGATCCGAGCCATGTTTGCAAGGGTTTGGTAGGGTGTGGTAAAGGTTGGGGGGTGGGAAGTCCTGCGATGAGATGAGCGCGATGAGATAAAGCGCGGGCACGACGGCGAGGCAGGAGCAGCGACAGGGACGACGTATAGAGGGAAAAAAGAGCGACGATAACGTGGGCGTAATTTGATTGTTTGAGTAGGAAATTTAGTTTGTTCAACTTGGTTGATCTGAAGAGATGATGAAAGTGGGTGGATGTATGGAACGTCGATCTGAAAAGTGTGTCTGCTAATCATCGACGTATTAGAATGAATTGTGTCTGAAGGTTGGTGGCATCAAATGGTTAGCCATTTAATTAAGTGTCCGTGCTTTAGTATTTGGTATTTCATTAAACTTTGAACGTTGAATCCACCCTTCATAGAGGGCTACTAGTGGTGCTAAGCAGTGACATTTCATATCCAGATGCAGCGACACCCTCCGCCCGCCCTCTAGCCATGGAGCTCGCTCCATTGCTTGGCCTTTTCCTCAAGATTATCGACGTCCAAGTCCATCGCGTAGATAGGGCTAAAGTTTGGCTTCAGGAACGTACTTTGGTAATCCAAATACGCCATCGAACATGGGTCGCAATAAACGGGATCCTGAGTGAGGACGGAAGGAGAACCCAAATGTGCCAGCTTTGTTCTGGGTGGGAACGGCAAGCTACATAGCCGCGTACCGCCAATTGAAATACGTTATACACTTGTCTCTGACGGTCCATGGGAAGGGACCTTTAGTTGTTTCAGCAGTAATATCAGGTGCGCCGCCAACATTTGTAGCTTGATGGCGTATTCGTGCCTGAATCTATCGCGGTACTTGTCCCACACGTTGAAAACGGGAGCCACGGCATCGCGGCTGTCTAGCACTTCGAGGGTATCGTCGGCATTGGCAATGAATGCCGAGAGCATCACCCGCACCACGAGAAAGCCGCCTTCTTGACCACCGCACCCTCGAAGTTCCTCGCCATCTTTAAAGAATATGTAGATTATTCGACCAACAGTTTCGAGTAGGGCCTCAGTGAACTTATCGCCGAGGGCCGGTATGATTAATTCCAAGAGCTCAAACGCCCCTCGCGGACCTTCAAGGCGATAGGACTCTTCAATTCGGAGTAGGCATACCCAAATCAGGGTCGACACAAGTGGAGAATCAGCCTGCAACTCGCCATAGCCATCGATCACCATTTGAATGAAAAACGGGAGGAACTGTGACCAGGGTAATGCCTCATCAAGCAGGGGTCAATGGGCGTAGCATATTTTGTTGACCCCAAAGAAAATTAAGTAGTAAAGAGCTTCGTCCAGAAGCCAAAGCTTGCCAGTAGTCCACCGTTTCACAAGGTTCCAAAGCACGTGGAACTTCTCCCCGGAGGTTACGCTAGGGTATCCGGGGACGACACAAATACACCATACCATCACCTCCATCCACGGGTGGGACGCCTCAGTTTCGAGGAGAGCCAATTGCGGGTGATGCAACATGTCCTGGAGCCAGTCGAAGCGCAATATTTACGGCGGCGACGTCCAATTTGTCGATGTAGACCTCTTTGGCAGCAGTCTGGTGGAGTATCACTTAGAGCACTAAGCTTAACGCTTTTGCCAGTTGAGCCAGGTCCATCCGTAAGAGACGGGGTATAAGCGTGAGGGGGGCGATGACTTCTGCTGCTAGGGTTCCGGATATGCCATATGGCTCGGTGAATGTGGATGTTAACGAAGGTCGGCAATCGCCGTGGCTAATTCCGCCGTCTTTAGCATCAATTGGTATATACGCGGTACGCGACGAGAAGAGACCAGACGCGTTAAGAAAGGAGACCAGAGCGTGCGGAGAATGAGTATAATCACACCTTGTTTTTAAAATTGATACTTTCCAGGTAGACTTGAGTATTGGATAACTAGTGAGAGTAAGGAGATTCCATAGCTTTATTCGCAAATCGAAGTTTGACTATACTAAGCATCGTTGAAGATCAACTACCTCAGACTCAATCAGAGAGCCACCAACAATTACCGAAATCACTGCCATTACTAAACCCGAATCAGTAACTCACCTACTACCAAAGAAAGAATCTGGGTAGTATAGTGAGTAGTATCCATCAAATGAGTCATATCTCAACAGTCTATCTTCTTTTTCCTTATCCATATCCATTAATACATATCCATCATTATCATTACCCTTGAGTGATTCTAAAAGTCTTCGTCGAACGAGAAGGCGTTTTCGTTCTTGGTGTCGGAGTTCTTGGCCATGACGCCGGCCTTTTGGTAGTCGGAGACTCTCTTTTCAAAGAAGTTGGTCTTGCCCGCAAGCGAGATGTTCTCCATAAAGTCGAAGGGGTTGGTGACGTTGTACACCTTCTTGTTGCCCAAGGCGACAAGCAATCTGTCGGCGACAAACTCGACGTACTGGCACATCAAGTTGGCGTTCATCCCCAACAACAGCACCGGCAACGCGTCGGTGAAGTATTCCTTCTCGATGGCGACGGCTTCGGTGATGATCTTCTCGACGATCAGGGGGTCGGGACGGTTTTGCAAGTGCAGGAAGAGGAGACAGGCGAAATCGGTGTGCAATCCTTCGTCACGGCAGATGAGTTCGTTGGAGAAGGTGAGACCGGGCATTAAACCACGCTTCTTCAACCAGAAGATCAGGGCAAACGAACCGGAGAAGAACACCCCTTCCACGGCGGCAAAGGCGACGAGACGTTCGGCAAACAAGGCGTCGGTATCGGCGATCCATCTCAACGCCCAGTCGGCCTTCTTCTTGATACAGGGGATGGTTTCGATGGCGTTGAACAAGAAATCGGCTTCCTTGGGGTCCTTGATGTAAGTGTCGATGAGCAACGAGTAAGTTTCCGAGTGGATGTTTTCCATCATGATTTGGAACCCGTAGAAGCATTTAGCTTCGGGGATTTGCACTTCGGCGGAGAAGTTTTCCACCAAGTTTTCGTTGACGATGCCGTCGGAGGCGGCGAAAAACGCGAGGATCCTCAGGATAAAGAACCGTTCGTTTTCATTTAAACGGTTGTTCCAGTCGTGCAAGTCCTTGCCCAAGTCGATTTCCTCGGCGGTCCAGAACGAGGCTTCGGCCTTCTTGTACATTTGCCAGATTTCGTTGTACTTGATGGGGAAAAGCACGAACCGCTTAGTGTTTTCCTTGAGCAACGGTTCTTCCTTTTCCAACTCCTTTAACTGGTGGCGGTGGGCCTTGTGTTTAGTGAGAAAGGCGCCGTGTTCGGCGTCGTACTGTTCCTGTTGCTTTTGCAAGTCAGCGGCGTTGGCGCCGTTGAGGTTGGCCACCTCACGCTGGCGCAACTCGTCCAACAGCACTTTGATCGCTTCACGGTCAGTTTGGGCTTCGTCCTTGGCCTGGGCCGCCGCCGCCAACTTGTCGGTGAGCAGCGAGCCTCGGGTCATGTCCAACGAGGAGATCTTACCAGTCAAGCCGTTGGTGGGAGTTTGTTGAGGCATAGACATCTTTGCTCAAGTGGGGGAAGTGTCGAGTGGTGAACTTTTGATGAGATATCGAGGGACTCCCGTGGGCTTTATATAGCAATGGTTGACGAGAGATGCGACGCGTGAACAACCAGCCTTTTTCCTGCAGGCATGCACACACGCGTACGGGTCCCGACTCGGGGCAACGACTACAACCCTGATCCAACCAGTTAGCCTTACAAAGTAATAAAAAACTGATGGTATTTTAGGCCGATATGATCTAATTGTTTAGTTGGAAAGTGATGTCCATTTAATTAAAGTCCATTAGTCGTAGTAATTGTGGCTAACTAGTGCTGTAGCAACTGGTCCGATTCGGAGGTGTGTACCAGACGGTGTTGCTCCACTGGGCAATTGCTATTGTGCACGTTTCAGCGGCAGCAGGGCCGTATAGCAACGAGCTTTGGGAGCGGGGCTTGCACCCGGTTGCCAAGTGAGGATGAGACTACAGAAGGAAACAGGTGTTTAGAAGGTGAAACAAGAGGTGGAACGAATTGAATAACTGGTTAGAAAAGCGTCTGTTTGGTTCGGTTTAGTGGTGGCTGGATCGGGTGGGATCGTACGGGAAGCGGTAAAATCAAAACAACACGCCCTAGACGCGTACGGGACTTCGCACACAGTGGGAACGAGAGGGCATGCGAGACCAGGGCTCGTAGTCCCGAGGGCAAGCGAATTTTTTTATTAATAAGAAATTACTGGTGGAAAAGGGGGACGCGAGCTCGTAATAGGAAATAGCGGAGTTAAGTGTAATTAACAACGATTACAAACGATCAATTATGGGTTGGATAGCACTATTTTGTGGCTGGCAATGGCGTTACTAAGATGAGGCCATCACTTTTTCATCAATGTGTGTACTTTTTCGCGAATTTTGGAAAAAATGCGGGGCTGCAAAATTGAAAACCTACGGAAATTGGGTGACAGTGTGTGAATTTGAGAGGATAAGATTTAGTAATTGACTTAAAAATGGGGACATAGGGTAATTGACAAGGCAGAGATTACATAGATTGGTTGAATTGGCGGAGAAATTGGCTTTATTGATGTCAAATTGGATGGTTCCCTCCTCTTGACGTCTTGGGTGGGACGGAGCTAATAACCGCATCCCTGCCTAGCCGCCAGATGCAGGTTAAACGATCTCATCCAGTGACACCCACTCAGATTGGTGGCCCTGTCGCTGTCACGGCTCCGACACTACTGACAATAATACTGTAATTGTACATGGTGGCGATGACCACGAAAGCTAGGGAGTTCTTAACCCTGTGTTTTGACCGTGTTTGACGGCATTGTGTAATGGGGCAGCGGTGGGGCGGTGGAGATGTCTTAGATGTAGGTTTCCGAAAATCTCGGGAACGGTGTGTGCCGGAATCATATGTGCTCAACGGATGGCTGTCGATTTTTTTGATTTTGGCACACACAAAAAAAAAAGAACACCGCGGGTCTGGGCCCCAAGTCTTTCTTCTCTGGGTAGAGATAAGCGATGACCTTTTTCCAATTGCGTAATCAATGACATAAGCTAACGTGAAAGCAGACACAAATAAGATTAAGTAAAAGATCTGTCGCTTAAAAGGAAAGAAAAAAATGATTGCTTTGCCCTTATCAGTGAGATCTTGTCATTCGGTGAATTTAGTCACGCTAATTGGTGATCAAACTGATCATTATTGTTCTCCTCTTGATTGAAGTAGGATATTTTTTTGTGTAAAGAATCAGTAGTGGTTGATTTAGTGGCCATTGACTCTGCTTTATAGAAGCGAGTGTTTGGTTCATTGACAGCAGTCCTATTCTTCAAGCTAATAACCATTTATTGGCTCTGGCGAACAACGTCCCTTCTTCTTTTGACATTTTAAATATAGTAATTGGTTATGGCAACAACGATTCGTCTGTTTAGAATCATTTCCTTTACCTATGTTTGGTTCTGACATCAACGCCCAAACAGACTAATTAACCATTAATTGGTTCTAGCAACAACAGTCTAACTCATCCATAGCTAGCTAAACACCGTTAGTTGGTTCTAGCAACAACGGTTACACTCTTCCAAAGTTGAGTGAAAAACCTCTGGCAACAACAGTATAGCATTTCCAAAGCTAACGAAAAATGATTAATTGGTTCTGGCAACAACGCTCCGACTTAATCAACTCAGGTTGACAGCTATAAATTGGTTCTGGCATCAACAATTCGACTAGACTGAACTGATAGCTATTAATAGCCTTTACTGGATCAATGTCACCATAGTTCTCCCTTTTCTGAGTCATAAACGTTCATTCATATCTATAAACTCCCAATGCAAAAATAGTAAAAAAAACCCCATTTCAACGGTAGGAGGCCAGAAGCGGCAGCGCCGTGTACTTGCGGGCGGTGTCGTAGTCGAGGTCGACGGCGACGGGGCTGTCGGTGGCCGGGGTCAGCAGCCGCAGGTACAGCGGCGGCAGCAACGTGTACGCCAGTTCCAGGTAGCCGTCGTCAGGCAACGTGGGGGAGATCGGGGCGTCAAACACCGAGTAGTCCAAGTTTTGATAGAGTTTCAGCACGTCGCCGTGGCCCCTATACCCTTGGAGCACTCGATCTCGCAAATAGGCCTTGAACTCCTGGCGCCACCGCTGGTAGTTCCAGTTAGCCTCGATGGCGGGGGTGAGCTTTTTGTCGACTAATTTCGTCAGAGCGTCGCGGGAAAGGTACTGGTAGTGGGGCAACAGGGGTAAGGCGAATAACAACAGTTGCGGGTCCAGTTTATCCAGCGCCAACTGCTTGGGACGGCCGTAGAGCTTAAACGCATCGATGATGTGGATATAGTTTCTGATCATCGTTTCGATGGCGGGCACTCCCGGGTGAGTTAACGGCATGAGATAGCAGTGGCTGGTGGTAGCGAACTGGTCCAAGTTCTTCTTAACAAACAGCAGCGTCCGTTTCGGAGTGTTTTCGACGTTTTCTCCCTCGGCTAACGTATGGGCGCGGTGGCGTCTCCCCTTATGTTTGTGGCTTGTAGGCGGCTGGGGCGACGGGGCCAGCGAGAAGAACAGCAGCAGCAGTACCAGCAGGCCCAGGTTGGTGCGTTTATGGTGGTTTTTTGGCGTTGCTGGCGGCGTCGCATCACTCTTTAACGAGGACAACGAGTGCCATGAATCCGAGCGGGAAATGCCCTTGAGGGTAAACAGTCTCTGTGGCGGGGCCACTTCAGCGTCAAAGAGGTGTTCAAAGTGCTTATTGACGTAGATATCACCATTAAGAGCCATAATCGCATTAAAGTCAATCATAGCCGGCAGTTCAGGATACACGTTATACACCTGATCAAGCCGGTCAACGTAGGCAATAAGGTTGCGCTTACTGATCTTATCGGAGGCGTAGAGTTCCATTCTCCCCAAATGCTTGGAATCGCCGGGGACAATCACCACGAACACTTTAAGCCAGCGGTCGGAGATTTGCGGCCAGCGAACGTTACACCATTCTTCAGAAGGGAACCGCTTCTTTTGAGCTAACAACACGTGGATATCGGCGAGTTGAGCCCCTCTCAGCGATAGTATTACTGCTGTGTACGCTTCGTTGAGCAGGTCGTGTTCGAACCGGGCCAAGTAGAGGGCTGCTAACCACTTAACGTAATCCTTAGAATCGCGGAATCTGACGACGACGTCGTTGGCGGGGGTATAGTCAGTTTGGATTTTCAATTCAAACAGCGCCCCGCTGTTGACCACGTTGATTTTAGCGTCGACAATGTTGATATATTTCGGTCTGAACTCGGTGAATGCCACCTCCTCTTCCGCCAGCTGCGGGCGCCAGATCGCGAGTTCGGTTCCCGTCAATTTCGCTTCCACTTCAAGCCACACCCGTTCGCCATCGCTGGTATACCCGGGCACTTGAAACACCCCGACGTTATAGATGCGGAGGCGGTGGGCGTGTAACAACGTAACGATGGGGCGCAACGGCGGCGGTAACAGCTCCGTCATCTGGCGGTTAAACTGGGCGTGCAGCGCCAGCGCCCGCAGCGCCCCCAGCGACCCGTTGGCGCTGGCGCCATTGGCGCCGCCATTCGCGCCGTTGGCGCCGTTGGCGCCGTTAGCGCCATAAGGCGAACTGGGAGTAAACACCCTCAGGTGGCGGTGGAGCAGCGACGGCGTCGCCTTCATTCTCTCGGAAAGGCGCCGGACGCCGCGGGGCAGCGCCGGCGGCAGCTCCGTCAGCGGGTCCAGCGACAGGCGCAGCAGCATCAGCATGGTGTGGACCATCGGCGGCGCCTTTTCCGGGGCGCCGGTGGCGGCGTTGACGGGGTCGAGCCCGAGCGGCAGCGGCGCCAACGCCGGCGCCAACGTGTTCCAGGATGGTTGCGACAGCGGCTGCGACAGCGGTTGCGACAACGATGGCGCTGAGTCCACCGTCGTCGACAGCGGCGACAGTTGCACCACTGGAGCCACCACTTGTTTCAGTGATGGTTTCAGAACTGGTTTCGCCGCTTGTTGCGGCCGGGGCTGAGCCGGAGCCGAGCTCGGCAGCGCCAGCGACGCTGCCAGCGACGACGATGATGACGCCGACAGCTTCTTAAACCGGTTGCGCTGGCCTTGTAAAAACTGGGTGAATGCCATGGAGTGATTTCACACTGGGTTTCACACTTGCTTTGACACTACGCGCGAAGGGGGAAGGGGGCCTTGAAACAGGTTTTGGGATTTTTATTTTTTTTTTTCGAAACCGGGAGGTAACGGCCGATGGCGGAGTGCTAAGCAACTGCCATATATAACAAAATTTCCCTCATCTAAAAAATATTTTTTTGTTT